GCAATAGTATCACCACTCTCATTTGCATTGCACCTTGCTTTCTAAAGCAGGATACTAAATGATAGATTTAGAGCTCCTAGGTCAGCAAATAAACCAAAAACTGCAGTCTTTGGGAGCACATGCCATTGACTGGTTCACACAGCATCCATTCATAATCCCCTTTTCTCTGCATGTCTCTTCTACAAAACTGAGAAAAAACAGAATACTCACTTTTTTGGTATTCCTTGAGTCTACAGGTCTATGGGACACAGTTTGAGCAGTGAGACAAAAGTGTAAGTTTGCGATTTCAGACAGAAGGGAAACAACTTGGCTGACATCAAGGATATGAGGAGAATAAGGGAGACTGAAAAAGTAGTAGGATCAATGAATTGTAGAAATTGATGAGGTCAAAGTCAGGGTACAACATAGAATAGAAAAATCTGGGAAGATATGTTGGTCAGAGGGTGATGCTTTGAATAGAGATTCTGGAAGGATTGCAGCTATTGGTGATTTAAGGTCTAGAGTATGACCATGGAAGTGAGTTCCCCAGGTAGGATGGAAGACAAGATCACAAGTGGCATGAATGTCAAGAAACCAAGGCTGTGAATGTGGATACTGAAATGAGCAAGAATTATGACAGGTATAGTTAGTGCTAGACAAATGACAATGAGCCAGCAGGCAAAATCTTTTAGAAATGTTGTTGAGACTTTTTATCACAAAGCATGTTGAATTTTATCAAACGTTCTTTTCTGCATCTATTGAAATCATATGACCTTTATCTTTCATTTTATTAATGTGGTATATCACACTGATTGATTTGTAGATGTTAAACCATCCTTGCATCCCTGGAATAAATCTCACCTGATCACAGTGTGTGATCCTTTTGATGTATTATTGAATTTGGTTTAATATTTTGTTTAGGATTTTTGTATCTATGTTAATCAGGGATATTGGCCTGTCATTTTATTTTTTTGTGGCCTCCTTGCCTGGTTTTGGGATCAGGGTAATGTTGGCCTTGAAAAAATATGTTTGGAAGTGTTCCCTTATCTTCTTTTTTTTGGTAAGAGTCTGAGAAGGATAAGTATTAATGCTTTCAATGTTTGGTAGAATTCACCAATGAAGCCATCTGCTCCTGGACTTTTGTTTGTTGGGAGGTTAATTACTAATTCAATCTCCTTACTAGTAATTTGTCTATTCAGATTATCTATTTCCTCATGATTTGGTCTTGGTAGGTTATATGTTTTTATGGATTTAGCCATTTCTTTTATTTTGTCAAATTTGTTGGCATATAATTATTCATAGTAGTCTCTTATGATCCTTCATATTTCTGTGGTATCAGTTATAACTTCTCCTCTTTCATTTCTAATTTTATTTGAGTCCTCCCTCCTTTCTTGGTGAGTCTAGCTAAAGGTGTGTCAATTTTGTTTATCCTTTTTTAAAGAACCAGCTCTTAGTTTCATTGATCTTTTCTGTTTGCCTTTTTAGTCTCTATTTCATTTATTTCTGCTCTGATCTTTGTTATTTCATTCCTTTTACTAACTTTGGGGTTTTTCTTCTTTTTCTAGTTCCTTGAGTTGTAAAGTTAGGTTGTTTATTTGAGATTTTGCTTGTCTCTTGATGTAGGCACTTACTGACAAGAAAACCTCCCACAGCTAATATCATACTTAGTGTGGAGAATCTAAAAGGTTTCCCACTAAGATCAAGAACAGGACAAGAATGTTCCCATTCAACACTCTTTTCAACAACACACTGGAAGTTGTAGCTAATGCATTAAGACAGAAAAAGGAAATTAAAAATATACAGGTTGGAAGGAAGAAATAAAACTGTCATTGTTCACAGATGATACAATCATCTATGTAGAAAGTCCTAAAGAACTGACAAAGAATTCCCAGAACTAATAAGCCATCATAGCAAGTTTGCAGGATACAAAGTTAATACAAAAGTCAATCGTTTTCCTATATACCAACAATGAGGAAGTAGAATTTTAAATTAAAACATAATACCATTAGCAATCCCCTAAATGAAATACTTAATTACAGATCTAACAAAATGTGTACGCAATCTATATGAGGAAAACTACAAAACTCTAATGAAAGAAATCAAAGAATAACTAAATAAATGGAAAGATATTCCATGTTCATGGAGAGGAAGACTCAATATAGTCAAGATGCCAGTTCTTCCCAGTTTCATCTATAAATTCAATGCAATCTCAGTCACAATCCTAGCAAGTTATTTGGTGGATATTGAAAAACTTATTCTAAACTTTATATGGAGAGGAAAAGACCCAGAATAGCCAACACAATATTGAAGAATAAAAATGTTGGAGTACTGGGGCACCTGGGTGGCTCAGACAGTTAAGCGTTTGCCTTCGGCTCAGGTCATGAACCCAGGGTCCTGGGATCAAGCCCCACTTTGGGGTCCCTTCTGAGCAGGGAGCCTGCTTCTTCCACCCCCTCTGCCTGCTGCTCTCCCTGCTTGTACTCTCTCTCTCTGTGTGTGTCAAATAAATAAAATCTTAAAAAAAAAAGTTGGAGTACTGACACTGCTTGACTTCAAGACTTACTATGCCACAGTGTAGCTACAGTGATGAAGACAGTGGAGGTATTGATGAAAGAATAGACAAAGAGAGGTGCCTCGGTGGTGCAGTCGGTTGAGAATCTGACTCTTGGTTTCCACTCAAGTTGTGATCTCAGGGTCCTAAGATCAAGCCCCATGTTGGGCTCCATGCTCTGAGTGCAGTCTGCTTGAGATTCTCTCTCCCTCTGCCCCTCTTGCTTGTTCTCTCTCTCTCTCCCTCTCTCAGATAAATAAATAAATCTTAAAAAAAAAAAGAATAGACAAAGAGATCAATACACCAGGATAGAGCCCAGAAATAGACTCATATAAAAACAGTCAACTGACCTTTGACAAAGGAGCAAAAGCAAAACAATGATTCAGAAATAGTCTTTTCAACAAATGCTTCTGGAACAATTGGATGTCCTAATGCAAAAAAAAAAAAAAAAAAAAAAAAAATTAAAAAAAAAACGTTAAACCTAATACAAATTAAAAAAAAAATTGCCCAAATAAAAAAAAAAAAAAAAAAAAAAAAGAATCTAGACACAGACCGTGCATCCTTCACAAAATTAACTCAAAATGGATCAAAGACTTAATTGTAAAATCCAAATGTAAAACTCCTAAAAGATAATACAGGGGAAAATTTAGATGATCTTGAAGATGGCTGTGCCTTTGTAGATACAACACCAAGGGCATGATCCCTGAAAGAAATAGTTGACAAACTGGACTTCATTAAAACTTCTGCTCTGCAAAAGACAACCTCAAGACAAATGGGAAGATAAGCCACAGACTGGGAGAAAACATTTGCAAAAGGCTGATAAAGGACCTTTATCCAAAATATGCAAAGAACTCTCAACACTCAACAGGAAGACAAGCAATCCAATTAAAAAGTGGGTCAAAGACTTTGACACCTCACCAAAGAAGATATACACATAAGCATATGAAAAGATACTCTACATCATATGTCACCAGGGAAATATAAAGCAAAAGATTACTTTCTCATTTTTTCTAATCAAAATCCCATTAATAACTAAAAAAAAGTGGTCTATCCATGCAATGTAAGTACTAGTAACATTAAAAAGAAATAAACCAGAAGTAATTACTAGATTTATGCAACAATAAGGATGAATTTCACAAGTATTATGCTAAGTGTAAGAATTGAGACAAAAAAGTGTACATTTTATGATCCTACTGGTATGGCATACTGCAAAAGAAAAAAAACTATAGGAAAAGAAGTAAGATGCATGGTTGCCAAAGGCTGGGAGCAGGTTGAGTGGATTGACGATGTAGTGGCACCAAGGATCTGTTTTTGTTAGGCAAAGGTTTTGTTTCTAAATAGGACAATTAACTAGTTAAAGATCAATTTCTAAATGGTAAAAATGAAACAGAGAAAGCACTTCATGGAATAATTAGCAGAAGATAATATAAAGGTCTTAATTCCTTCCCATATTACAATGCTTTATCTCTATCAATACAGTTCCTTCCATTTGCCTTATGACTCACGTTTCATAATCAGCAATTAAAGTGAAGGAAATGTGGGAAACATTTGTTGCTTCTGCTTTAAGGCCTGATCAATGGTTGCATCTGTTTCTTGTGGATTCTTGGCATCCACGTCCATTCTTGTGGATCTTGGGATGAATAGTTCAGGGTACGGAGCACTGTGAGTTCTAGATGCATGTATGCCCATAAAAAAAAGGCAATCCAGTAAAAGTAAGGTTGAGACTCTATATTTGTCAAATTTGGTACTCAGTACAGGTCAGCACACTTTCCTTATAGTATCTGCATTCCGCCCCTCCCAAACCCCGCATCCAACGCTTCCTTTCTATAATCTGTTTTCCTTCCTTCCCTTTCCTCTTTCTCATATTTCAAGGTTCTCTAGTCTCTATAACGTAGTTTCTTAGAATAGGTGGATAGTTTGCTTCGGTTGAGTTCTTTGTTTTTGTTTTTGTTTTGTTTTTTTTGTCTTAGTTTTTGTCACGTTTGGAAGAAAAAAATTCAAAAAAACGACGGGGGAGGGGGCGGCCAAGCTCGACTAACCGTACAGAATTAATTCAGGCTGACTATCCAAAAGAGAATACCAACTATCTAAACACTGCCAAAAAGAGAAGAGCCTTCAGGAAAAGACCACTCCGCAGGAGATTCCGGGATTTGTAGTCCACAACGTCAGACGCATTACGCTCCTGAAAGACGCCCTCCGGAAAGATGCCCTGAGGGCATCGTTGGCTGGAGAAAATACAGAAGTACATAAAAGAGTTCTATACACTTGGCAGCATTTCGGGGTTCCGGAATTCGCTGCGGACCCGCACGCTTTTTTTTTTTTTTTAGATTTGTTTATTTATTTTGAGAGAGTGAAATGAGAGAGAGTACGTGAGAGTGGGGAGGGTTAGAGAGAGAAATAGGCCCCTCGCCGAGCAGGGACCCGACGCGGGACTCGAAGCCGGGACTCCAGGATCATGACCCAAGCCAAAGGCAGTCGCTTAACCAACTGAACCACCCAGAAGCCCGGGACCCGCATGCTTTTAAATACAATCCAGCCTCTCGGTGCGACAGCCAACACTTCCACCCAAGGAAGGCGACGGGGTGTCCTGGGAATTCTGGGAAGTGTAGTCCGGGAACACAGTGCCGCAGGATAACTTCCGCTGCAGGAGGCCGAGGCTGCGTCCCTGCTCCCGTCGGGAATTCTGGGAAGCGTAGTCCAAGAGCTCTCTGTCGGCAGAGTCGCTTCCGCTCCAGGTACGCGAGGCCGCGGCCTTCATTACTCTGCGAAAGGTGAGCCCTCCCTCCCCCGGCGCCCTCCTGGCGGCCGCACTGACTTGGCCTCACTTTGCGGTGGGCCCGTGGTCATCAGGCCCTGGACCCTGGGGAGGAGAATCCGCCAGCGGCGAAGGGCGGGGTTTGTGTTCCGTCTGAATGAGCTCTGTGGAGTGCGGGGCGGTGAGTGCCTACCGGGCTCGGGGCCCGGGCCAGGTTCCCAGGTCGCTGGGAGTGAGGGTCTCCTGGGTTCTGCATTTCCCCGACCCTCTGCCCGGCCACCAGCCAATGCTGCCGCTTCCCAGCCGTATAATACTCGGAGAATTCGTGTCTCTGCCTCATTCCTCTTCTTTAAGTTGGTATTAGTGTCTACCTAATAGAGTTATTTTGAGAGTTAAATGAGGATGTAGAAGAGAAAGACTTAAAAGTCTGGCTTGGGGTAAAAAAAAAAAAAAAAGGTCTCTTAATAGCAGTACTTTGTAATTTCTGGAGAAGCGCTTAGTTACCTGAAAGCATCTGTGAACCTGGGATGGGGTCAGAGCTCCTGCTGCAGTGTCCTGAAGGAGGGGAGGCTGCACCCAGATTCCCTTTTTTTTTTTTTTTTTAATCTAAATTTAAGTTTTTGTAGAGGGTCATTCCTGGGTGTTGTCTGGGATGTCCACTGTAATTTATGCGGGAGTTCTAATGAAGCTGTGATTTCTCTCAGCCTCCTGTCCTTCCCCAGCCTGGACTTCTTGAAAAAGGCTGCTGGGAGGAGGGAATGGTGCTTTGGCTTCTGGAAGCAGAGCCTCGTCTGAGTAGGTCTTAGCATCTCTCTTCCTCTTATGTTATCTCCTCTCAGGGAAGAAGATATTTCCTTAACTCATCTGCAAGTTCTTCTACCGGAAAGATGCCCTGACTTTTGTTGAATAAATAAATACAGAAAGGAATGGGGGAGTACCTGGGCATGAATAATAACAATTATATTTACTTTTTAAAAGCTTTTATTTAAATTCCAGTTAGTTAACACAGAGCGTAATATTAGTTTCAGGTGTACAATATAGTGATTCAACAGTTCTATACATCACCCGGTGCTCATCACAAATGCACTCCTTAATCCCCATCTCCTATGTCACCCATCCCTCCACCAACCTCCATTCTGGTAACCATCAGTTTGTTCTCTATAGTTGAGAGTCTGTTTCTTGGTTTGCCTTTCCCTCTTTTTTCCTTTGCTAGTTTGTTTTGTTTCTTTAATTCCACTTATGAGGGAAATCATATGGTATTTATCTTTCTCTGACTGACTTACTGCACTTAGCATAGTACTCTGTAGCTCCATCACATCGTTGCAAATGGCAATGTTTCATTCTTTTTTATGGCTAACACTCCATTGTGTATATATACCATATCTTCCTTATCCATTCGTCAGTCCTTGAGCACTTGGGCTGTTTCCATAATTTGGCTATTGTAGATAAATGCTGCCATAAACATCAATCGGTGTCCATGTTCCCCTTTGAATCACTATTTTTGTATCCTTTGTGTAAATATCTAGTAGTGCAATTGCTAGATCATAGGGTAGTTCTGTTTTTAACTTTTTGAGGAATCTCCATATATTTTCCACAATGGTTGCACTAGTCTGCTTTCCCACCAACAGTGTAAGAGGGTTCCCCTTTCTCCACTTCCTCGCCAACTTTGTTGTTTCTTGTGTTGTTGATTTTAGCCATTCTGACAGATGTGAGATGATATCTCATTGTAAGTTTTGATTTGCATTTCCCTGATAATAAATGATGTTGAGCATCTGGATGTCTTATGGGGAGACAGGTCTGTTCATGTCTTCTGCCCATTTTTTAACTGTATTATTTTTGGGGATGTTGATTTGTGTAAGTTCTTTATATATTTGGATACTAACCCTTTATCAGATATGTCATTTGCAAATATCTTCTCCCATTCCATAGGTTGCCTTTTAGTTTTGTTGATTGTTTCCTTCACTGTGCAGAAGCTTTTTATTTTGATGTAATCCCAATAGTTTATTTTTGTTCTTGTTTCCCTTGCCTCAGGAGACACATCTAGAAAGAAGTTGCTATGGCCAATGTCAAAGAGATTACTGCTCCTGTTCTCCTCTAGAATTTTGATGGTTTCCTGCCTCACATTTAGGTCTTACATACATTTTGGATTTATTTTTGTGTGTGGTGTAAGAAAGCGGTCCAGTTTCATTCTTTTGCATGATGCTGTCCAGTTTTCCCAACACCATTTGTTGAAAAGACAGTCTTTCTTCCATTGGATATGTTTTCGTGCTTTGTCTAAGGTTAATTGACGATATAGTTGTGGGTCCAATTCTGGGTTTTCTAGTGTGTTCCACTGATCTATGTGTCTATTTTTGTGCCGTACCATACTGTTTTGATCTCTTTACTTTTGTAATATAACTTGAAGTCTGGAATTGTGATGCCTCCAGCTTTGCTTTCTTTTTCAAGGTTACTTTGGCTATTTGGGTTTTTTTTGTGGTTCCATGCAAATTTTAGGATTGTTTGTTCTAGGTCTGTGAAAAATACTGTTGGCATTTTAATCAGGATTGCATTAAATGCGTAGATTGCTTTGGGTAGTGTAGAAATTTTAACAATATTTGTTCTTCCAGTCCACGAACACTCCATGAAGATGGAGTGTCTTTCCGTTCCTTTGTTTCCTCTTCAATTTCTTTCATCAGTTTTTTTCTAGTTTTCAGAGTACAGGTCTTTCACCTCTTTGGTTAGATTTTTTCCTAGGTATTTTACGGTGTTTGGTGCAGTTGCAAATGGGATCGATGCCTTGATTTCTCTTTCTGCTGTTTCATTCACCCCCTCGCCTCAAAAACCCTCAGTTTGTTTCTCAGAGTCCATAGTCTCTCATGGTTCATCTCTCCTTCTGATTTCCTCCCCTTCAATTCCTTCTCCTAATGTCCTCCATGCTATTCCTTAGGTTCCATAAATAAGTGAAACCATATGATAATTGACTTTCTCCACTTGACTTATTTCACTGAGCATAATCTCCTCCAGTCTCATCCATGTTGATGTAAAAGTTGGATACTCATCCTTTCTGATGGCTGAGTAATATTCCATTGTATATACGGACCACATCTTCTTTATCCATTCATCTGTTGAAGGGCATCTCGGCTCTTTCCACAGTTTGGCTGTTGCAGACATTGCTGCTATGAACATTGGGGTGCATATGGCCCTTCTTTTCACTACATCTGTGTCTTTGGGGTAAATACCCAGGAGTGCAATTGCTGGGTCATAGGGTAGCTCTATTTTTCATTTTTTGAGGAATCTCCACACTGTTTTCCAAAGTGGCTGTACAAATTTGCATTCCCACCAACAGTGTAAGAGGGTTCCCCTTTCTCCACAACCTCTCCAACATTGGTTGTTTCTTGCCTTGTCAATTTTTGCCATTCTTTTTTTTTTTTTAAAGATTTTATTTATTTATTAGAGAGAGAATGAGAGATAGAGAGCACGAGAGGGAAGAGGGTCAGAGGGAGAAGCAGACTCCCTGCTGAGCAGGGAGCCCGATGCGGGACTCGATCCCGGGACTCCAGGATCATGACCTGAGCCGAAGGCTGTCGCTGAACCAACTGAGCCACCCAGGCGCCCAATTTTTGCCATTCTAACTGGTGTAAGGTGATATCTCAGTGTGGTTTTGATTTGAATTTCCCTGATGGCTAATGATGATGAACCTTTTTTCATGTTTCTGTTAGCCATTTGTATGTCTTCTTTTGAGAAGTGTCTGCTATAATCGTTATTATTTTCTTCCTTCTGCTGGCTTTAAGCTTTGTTGTTCTTTTTCTAGCTCCTTTAGATGTAAGCTTAGGTTGTTTATTTGAGATTTTTCTTGCTCCTTGAGGTAGGCCTTTATTGCTATATACTTCCTTCTTAGGACAGCTTTTGATGCATCCTAAAGGTTTTGGACCATCATGTTTTCACTTTTGTCTCCATGTATTTTTTAACTTCTTTATTTCCTGGTTGACCCATTCATTGTTTAGTAGCACGTTATTTAACCTCCATGTATTTGTGGTCTCTCCAGATTTATTCTTGTGGTTGACTTCAAGTCTCATAGTGTTGTGGTCAGAAAATATGCATAGTATAATCTCAGTGTTTTTGTATTTGTTGAGGGCTGATTTGTGACCTAATATATGATCTATTCTGGAGAATATTCCATGTGCATTTGTAAAGAATATGTATTCTGCCGTTTTAGGATGGAATGTTCTGACTATACTTGTTGAGTTCATCTGGTCCAGTGTGTCGTTCAAGCCATTGTTTCCTTGTTGATTTTCTGCTTAGATGACCTGTCTATTGATATAAGTGGGGTGTTAAAGTCCCCTACTATTATTGTATTATTATCATACAGTTCCTTTATGTTTGTTATTAACTGTTTTATATATTTGAGTGCTCCCATGTTGGGGGTATAAATATTTACAATTGTTAATATCTTCTTATTGGACTGTCCCCTTTATTATATAGTGTCCTTCTTTGTCTCTTGTTACAGTCTTTGTTTTAAAGTCTAGTTTGTCTAATGTAAGTATTGCTACTCCGGTTTTCTTTTGACATCCATTTGCATGGTAAATATTTCTCCATCCCTCACTGTCCATCTACAGGTGTTATTAGGTTGAAAATGAGTCTCTTGTAGGCAGCATATAGATGGGTCTTTTTTTTTTAATCCATTCTGACACCCTAAGTTTTTTTTATTGGTACGTTTAGTCCATTTACAGTCAAAGTAATTATCGATAGATATGTATTTATTGACATTTTATTACTTATTTTGTGATTGTTTCTGGAGATTTTCTCTGATTCTTTCTTGTCTTTCTCTCTTTCATGGTTTGCTTATTTTCCTTAGTGATATATTTGGATTTCTTTCTCTTTATTTTTTGCATGTTTATTGGTGGTTTTTGATATAGGGTTGCCATTAGTTTTGTATATAACCTCTTCTGCATATAGCAGTCTATATTAACTAGATGGTTAAGTTTGAACACATTCTTTTCTCCTCTCTTCCCCATGCTTTTTTTGTATGTGTGAGTT